TCATTAATGATGGCAATGGCATTTTTATCCTTCCAAATAATAAATATGCCATACTCTCTATCATAATATGCCCTTGACTTTATCGGCAACAAATCATCCGTAGCTTTTGCAGCGTTTTTTATAATATTTTCTGGAATTTCTTCCATTTTATGCAATAAATTAATGCTCATTGATAGGAGTCAAAGAGAAAAAAAAAGAGAAAAAAATGCCAGGGCTAAGAACTATTTTCTGAAAGCTGTTTATTGTATCTGGAAAATAATTCAAGTGTCTGTATTCCTAGCAGGTTTCCTTGGACCAGATGATTTTCCTCCAAAGTAATTTTAATACCTTGTTACATGTCATTCAGGCGAATGGCATTTATGCACGCGTTTATATTGAGCTGTAGCGTTAAACTGAGAAATATTTCGATCGGCCATGTGAGATTGTGTTGTATAAAATCATTATCGATTCCAAAAAATATTTATCCTTATCTAGTTATAACGGACTAATTGCATCTAGGAAACAATCTCAAAGCAGTTACGACACGACTGAACAAGGACAATTAGAATAAAGTTGCAAATTCTCTAATAATTAGTTCTGAGGATAATTAATTGCTTAAATTAAACAGATGAATAGACAAGGCTCACTAAGTGACTGTATTAATAGAGGTATTGGCCATAATGACAAAATAATTTCGTGTCAATCATTTCACTAACTTTGATCAGACAAATAAATTAACTACCGAGTTAAGCTGCAGTGTGGCTAAATTTTATTTATGTAATGCATGTGAAGTAAATGTTTCTTAAACTTTTAATAATTATTTGCCGTTTAAATAGAATTGTTCCATTTTTGGTTGGTTGAAAGTAGTATATTGGTGTGAAACTCAGCATATTAGACCCTAATTTTTTCACAGAGTTTCACAGTTGCTTTTATACATTTTTATATAAAGTTGCATACAAAGTTTTTCATCTCTTGGTCGCAATAGTTGGTTCTCATTAAACAAAGATGTTTTCTTGATACTAATTTGGGTTTTTGCTTGCTGCTCTCCTTTGGTTCTAAATGCTATAATATCAATGACAACTTTCAATGTTGCCATTTTTTTCCATAAAATAATTTTAAATTTATTGTCGTTCTTATAAAATTTCTTGATGCTTTCGTCCTGCTTTAAAAAATACGCCCTAGAACCCTTGAATTATACCAAAAAGATTTATTGGTATACATGGCTTTTTTAATAAGTGTCCGATATTTCACAAGTGCGCCAGACTTTACTTGTCGAGCTACAGGAATTTAGTTCGAACCTGAATGTTTGCTTTTTCTTAGTAATTTTTAAAACAATATCGATTTTAAGACGAAACATGTTATTTGAGGGTTTTGGACCATGCGAAACTTGCGTCGATTACTTTAAACGCATTCTATTGCTTCAAATCAAATTTCATATTTCGAAAACGGTTGATCGTATCGACTTTTGATGAAAATTAATTTTTACTTTGAAATGATAGATCAATTTATTTTCTTACTAAAAAATTATACAAACTTGCACGGAACCGTTATTACCTTTTAAAAGCGGAAACGGTATGTAGATAGCGGCCTCTGCATGTAAATTCAAACCGAAGTGCAAATTTACATTTTTTATGTTATAAGACCCAGAAATGCCAAATTTCGTCCAAATATCGATATTATTTCAAAAACTATTGGGAGAAACGAAAATTCAAATTAATCTTTCCACACTCGCTTTTACTGACCCATGGCTGTATAGACTTTTATCCTACAAATTCCCGAAAAAAGTTCCGTTTTACTTTGATTTGTTTAATAAGATGTTAATATTATCACATAACTATTTAAATCGTCTTTAGCATAGAAACTTTCAAACACTTTTAAAAACTGTACATAAAAGAAATATTCGTAATTTTTGTGAATTTCTTTTGATTTATTGAAAGAGAACAATAACTTGCAAAACTACTAATGCACTTCAAGTTTCCTTTGGGAATGATTTAAATTTGGACTATTTGTTGCCCGACACTTTTAGTCTGTAAACTTTTTCTGTGCATCTGTTAAATTTTGTGTATATGTAGGTAATAAATACATTTTTAATTAATTGTTCGAAATAAACAAAATAATAAGTCTCATGAATAGCTTTCAATCTCTTAATAATCATTAAGTTGACATTGGTAAAAAACGATTATCTTTTTTGTTTGTTCAAATGTTGATAGTTTATATTTCACTTGTTTAGTTCACATTCGCAAAATATTATATGTATATATTATTGTTATGTTTAACCGAATGAGTCTCAACGTTTCGTTCTGCATTCACTCGTTTATAGAATGTGCACATTGACAAAAAAAAATATTAGTTAATAAATTAAGTAAGACATTATTATTAGAAGTATTTTTGTAATCACTTAGATTCCAATCGTTTTCGATTGAGAATCCGTTAAAAAGGAAATTGCTTTAATCATGGTACATTTCATAAGCTGCTCCTTAGAGCTGAAATAATAGTTTTTTATCTGTGGTAATTATTTTCCTTCATTCTATAATTTTTTACTTCATTATGATTAATTTAGTTTTTTTTTTATGTTTTCTTTTCTTAGACTTGTTCAACTGATGCTGTCTATTTGCATCTGAAGTATTTTTTGTGATTTTTATATTCGTCGGAGGGTTCTTCCACTTCAATTACGCTTTCATTTTAAAATAAAATGGACTTGGTTTTCAAGAAAGGTTGTGAAAATTTATAACGTTTTTGAAAGCCGCATTGTCCTGTGGAGTTAATAGCGTTAAAAGCGAACGACTTATAGATAACGAATTGAATATCGCGGTTAATCAGTCTTTGAATATTCTGGTCTTTCTTCAAACCGCTTATCAGTTTTGTAGCATTCCAAACTACTCAATAACGTCAACGTTACACGCATAATTTTTTAAAATCAATTTTTAAAATTCTGGCCGCTGAGCGATGGATTTCTGTTCGAAAAGTTAATTTTTCACTCATCTTATTTATTTACAGAGTGGTCTTAAAAAACTCAACTTTTTGTTCTTGCAGTTATACATTTTTTTCTCCTAAACCCATTTGCAAAATGTAGGGTTTATGTTGAAGCTAAAACTTCACAGTGGGCTTGAGAAAATTATAACTTAATATAGAGAGTTGCACTGTGAACAAAAGTTTTGAAAGTAAACTTAATCTAAAATCTTCCAGAATCCCATATTTCGGGGGCAATTCTGATTTGGGCACTTTCTTGTGCAACTGTAAACTGTACTGTGTTTTATGAAAAATATTACATTATTTTCATTTCTCGCCCTGTAGAAAATAGACGTGCTTAATTTTTATTAAAACACTGACAAAATTAAAACACTGAAAAAAACAAACAAGGCTGAACAACATAACAAAACGGGCTAACGCTTCAACCAAAATCCAAATCGCTCTAAGCAATTAGAATTTATCCAGTTCCAAAGTCAGGGCAAATTTGGCGGTGTAACGTTCATTTTGTTGAGCAGTTTAGTTCAATCTTTCATATATAGCTGTTGTTCCTGTAAGTGATTAAATGTCTGGCTACTTTTGGTTCTCGCAACTAAAGACCTCAATATCTCTCAGCTGCGACTCATTAGACACTTTGTTGGCCTTCTGCTCGTTATGGCTATTATAAGTTTTCTATCCATTGCCACCTTTACGATCAACAAAACAGTACTTTAGTCCATTTTTGAGTACATCCATCATCGCTTTAACCTGGCAAAAAAATATTTCCCAGCATCTCTGAATATGTTATTATTAAAATAAAAGCAAACCGTTTAATAGCGGATTCATCTACGGCTTCTTCTTGAACGAGGGGTTACCGAGGTTAGCATTCATCCGCTTCTTGCGGCCGCTGCTCACGCCCAAACACAGGATTCTGTAAGTTACTGCATATTACTGTCCATTTTTACGGTGGTCAGCGTGAAAAGCTCCCGCTGATCCGACCAGCAACCACTCCCTACTGTTGACTAAAAGCGATTGCCGCCAGAAGAAGAATAACCCATATGCGTCTTCATGTAAGTACCGAATCAGGGTGAGGTAGCGTACAAGGATTGATCGTATATAACCGATTTCGTATTTTTTTCATCAAACCTGAATACATTGCATGTATCTACCTGGTCGCACGATGAGGATGCAATGCGCTCATACAGAAGTCGGGTGTGGTCATCGGGATATCAAAATAATCTAAATAATGGTTCGTTTGTTCCGCATTGTTTTACATAATTACTATTAATTAAATTATTCTTTCAACGTTCTGAACCAACTTTATGCAACTTTTATATTATATCCAGTTTTTTGATCGTAGATTTATGCATATATTTACTAAATTGTTTTGATAGTGGTATCAAATTCCGAGAAAAAATATAATTCTACAAATAAAGCAATCAATTGAGATAACTTTAATTAAAAACAGCTTTGTTGATGAAGATTATAGGAAGTTTAGTAACTCTTTGTTTTGACATAAAATTGCCATTTATTCAATTGTTTATTTAGAATAGCTGACAGGCAAACTGCCCACTGGAAGATATCCAAAATACACTCACTACTTTCTCTGATGTTTCTCTTTACTAATTTTCTAGTTAATACTTAGGCTGTTTTTATAACCAAATGCGGTTCAATAAAAATAAATGCACTTATCGAAAAATGTTCTTTTTATGGCAGCAATTGATGAAATTTTGAAGGTATTTTTTTCAGCTTGTTGTACCGGTTTAAATTAATTTTTGAAAAAATGCATTAAAATGAAAATTACCGTATGCACTGAGCTTTCGACAGAAACATGCAGCAAGCAAAACAAGTCAATTATCCCATATAATGCGCTATTTTTGTGAAGAAAAAACATTCAAAAAGTTGTACACAAAGCATCGGCACGTCCGTGACAGCTCTAGTGCAGATACTTTCTATACGGGGTGTTTTTTTTCGTTGTGCACGAATTGCAAAACGATATTCAGCCTTCGCAGCCCGTTGAAATGGTAGCAACACTGCAATAGTTTAGACCAAATAAAAAAGCGTAACTACTCGTATTATTGCGTAGGTTGGTGACCACGCCCGATGTAGAAAGCAAAAGTAAAATCAGGGTGAACCGCGAGTAGATGTTCGACTTTGTCGACAGAGAATAAAGGCCAGTTTATCTATCTCGAAAGCCTGCACTGACGAATTGGAGCGCAAAGTCACATACCTGACTGCGTT